TTAGTAAGCTCAGTGAACAATCTCCTTCATTAGAGAATTGGTGACTCCGCTGAGTACAGGCAGATGCGTACTCTCCTGAGTCTGACTTAAGGAAGTGTACTGCTGGGAGAAGATAAGGGATGCAGGGTGGCGAGCACAGCCAGGACAAGCCTGGTGGTCATCAGAGAAGAGACCAGAAAGAGTCCAGGATGAGCCAGAAAGAACAAGGGGAGCATGATTTCAGCTGTGGGGGTGGGCTTGAAATGGCTGAAAAATAGCTAGGTATCCTTCTATCTGGAGGCCAGTGAGCCAGGTGTGTAAGAAAAGAGGAGTTAAGGGAGATCGAGCAAGGTATTGAGGGTCCCGGGTCCCAGCTAGCAAGGCAGTGGGGAGAGGGTAGCTGAAGAGCAATGAGTAGGTTGTAACAAGGTGGTTTTTACTCGGAGGGAGGTGGGAGCTGTGGATGCCTGGAGCAGAAATGTGATGACCTGAAGGTGTGGAGAATACTCATTCTTATTCCCAATGGTTCCTGACAACACATATTTACTGGAAAGGGCTCCGGGGTAGAAAAAAATTAAGGGAAATTTCATGCCCTTGTGGATTCATAGAATACCTAAACATAGCAGGTCAGCTTTCCACTTGAGAGACTTTTTACCATCATTGTAAGACTCTAGGCTGCTTAGCTGAAAGCTGCTTGCTTCTGTATTCTCAGTAATGTGCAATTTCACAAACAGAGAAGTCTGGGGCAGCCCACTCTGCTTTTGGAACCCCTTATGAATTTCCCAACGATGGCAAGCACCTCTTGAGGCTCTTCCTTTGTGAGGCCTTGTGTGCCTTGTTCTTAATTCCAGAGATAGCTCACGGACAGCACATGACACAGCCCAACTCACACACACCCTCACTGCCATTGGCTCAATGTGGACTCATAGCGGCCACTGCCCCTGGGAGTTTCCAAGCCTGTAACTCTCTCTACGGGAGTAGAAAGCCCTGTCTGCTGTCTTCTGGCTCCAGAGCGGTCATGACTGCTTTGATGAATCATGTCACTGTGCCCAGCCCTTTCATCTTTTCTAGAAAGTGAAGAGAGCGATAACCTCATGAGGTTGTTCTTGCTAGGCATTCATGGACAGCAAAGCTGAGTGCAGGTTTATGCAGTGGGGGACATGAGAAACAAAGAGATTGGACTTTAACAGACATGTGCGCTCACAGCCCTTTCTTGGTCCCTCATGTACAGGCTACAGAGGAGAGCAGCTGCCGCACGACCACTTCATCCCTCGTGTCCATCTGCTCAGACCTGCACCTCTTCTCCAGCATCGATGATGGCACTGGGTTTGCATACCCTGAGCAGGTGGTGGCTATGTGGGCCCAGGAGGGGATTCAAAATGGCAAGGAGATTTTGCAGGTTTGGAAATGGTTGGCCAAAGCTTCCCCGCTCAGTTGGGCTGAGAACGGGGTGGGAACCCTAGAGGGTTACTATGCTTGGCCTCTACTCTGCTCTCTGGCTTCCTTCCTCCTGCTGCAGCAGAGAATCCCAGACAGGGAAATTATCGGGAAACTTTTTTTTTTTGCTGCTATTAATATATAGAAAATTTTAATTTTGAAAGAGCATAAATAAAATACAGAGGAAAATAAATAAATAAAATACAGAGAAAACAAGAAAACAACAGTCTGATAAAAACACCTTGCAGGTAGGTTTTCATGTCTTAGATACTTCCTCCATTGCCATGTTAACTTTTCAGGCTTGTTACTTGGACAAGGCAGCACTCCAATGGGTGTTAGAACAGGCACACTTTTGTGGTGGCCTCAGAGTCAGAGAATGTGTGTGTTTATATTCAGTTACTGACCACTAAGCAAGGGCATGGATTCTGCCAAGAGTCCTTTCATCAAAAAAGACC